CCCAGAAAATTTGAATTCAGCTTTCCTCTGCCCACTGGTAGCAAGTACGGCCCTGAGAAAATTTTTGACGAGTAAATTATTATCTCGGGAACCACCGAGTCTAGGAAGTTGAAATTTTAGAGTAATGACCCCCACGCTCAACGCTACCTGTTAAAATTCAGCGTTCCCGCGCTCTCGGATATCACCTACGGCCTCGTGAAAATTTGGGCAAGTAAACTGTTAACTCGGGAATCACGGAAAGATATTCACCCTTCAAGGTTTCGAATTCAGCTTTCATGCGCAGGTGCGTGAAATTCCTAACTATTTTCCAGTGTTTCAACTATTTTTTCATAGACTAAAGTACAAAGCAGTGAAAATCATTACTAGGCAATGGTTCGATGGGCTGAATTGCACAAAACGCATGGCCGCACCGGTTAGTCTGGTGCGCGTTGCTATTTATTACATTTTTCTACATTTTACGCACGGGCAGGTGAAATTTAAAGTTGCTTGTTTCTTCAACTGAACAACCAGACTGGTAAGGGCTTAGAAGCGTCGGTTCATTATTCACGTGCATCTACGTGTCTCGCACATACGTGTAAAATTTTAGAGTGCAAGTTTGGGGCTCGTCTCACTTCGCAGCCAAAGAAGTTGGAGATGTAATTTCTCTTGCGCATGAGCCATAGGCCCTTCGTCCCCTCCCCTCCCCCCTTCCCCTCCCTAGCGGCACAGGCACCAGTGTTGCAGAAGCCCGTGTCTGTTCATAGATAAAACTAAAGTAACTTCAAACGGTGGTATTACAACTCTGTTCCTAGTTTTTGCATAATTCCAGGGTGATCCCCAAGTCGTCCCACTCTTTCCCGACCCCTCATCGCCCCCTCCTCTCGCAGGAGTCCATTTTGGACCTGCCTATGGCATGAACTCTGCGAGCCTCAAGCTATCTTGCAGGCATGCGTCTCAGCAGGCAACATGTTTTGTTGGTCATTTCCAGAAAACTCGATATGTTTAGGCGGAAGCCGAACAGAGTGAAGCGTGCAAAAAATTTGAGGATATTAGCGAAGTCGCAAAAGGAGAGCTGCTTGATTTAAAGAAGAGACGATTGGCAGCGTTCAAAAAGAATCTTACAGATTTAACTGACCTTCAAATGAAGCATGCCAAGGTAAGCAGCTGACTTTTCAATGTTCTTATTTTTTTATGCGTTTTTTCATTTTATGCAAATGCAGAAACTTATATTACCAATAAGTTATATGTGT